TTTTGATCAAGAAACGACATAAAACCAACACTGACAAGTAGGAAAAATCTGCAACTGAAATGCCGAGTGACGGCAATCGGCAGGATATTATCGGAATTCGGTGAAAAATCCATAATTCAGTCGAAAAAAGCCTCGTCCGACGCCATTAATTTAACGATGCACCGCTAAAAAGCCATAAAGCAAAAATGCCCGGCCATTAAAACGAAACAGCAGAGAGAGGCGAAACAGTATCAAAGGCTCTCGCACACACACACACGTTCGTTTTCTTAATATATCTCCGAAGTGATGTGACTTTATCGTGTTCATTGCCTGTAAAACTGTCAGATGCTTTCAAAAGCGGCGAAATTTATGAACGCGGCTATTTTATGGACCTCCTGAAGTCGTGTAGCGATTGTACAGGGTGGATATGCGTCCAGAAAACATTGTGGGAACCAGCGGTTTGAATGCAACCGCAAGCAAACACCCAAAGGAAATGAACGAAAATGCCGACAAGGAATTAATTAATTAGGAGTTAAAATTACATCATCAAGTGAAGAAATAGAAGTGAGGAATAGAAGGAAATTTCTCTGTGCTGAGGTACCCGAAAACCTTGACTAGAAATTTAGTGTATGGACGTTAGTCCCGGGATGTTCTTTCGGTGTTAAGAGGACCATTCCGGGTGTACTTTTTGAGTTGAAAGCCGACCAAATATCTGTATTTATATCAATATGTGGTCGTGACCGGCCCACACAAGTCTGTCAAAAGATCGGTGTTCACGACCGAGAGCGAAGCAACCGGGAGGCGATGACGCCAGTTTTGACTTATGCTTTCGCCGCGCAACCGGCTCGTTTTCACTGCCGCAACAGGACGTATTTTACCTGCGGGATACACGATTTACGGCCCGACATGATTTACGGCCCGTAGAACCAGCCAGCATTGTATTTCATCCGGTTTTTTTCTCCCCAACCTTTGTTGGATACCAACGTGCAGACCTGAACTCTTTTCAAATCGCGCCCCCTATAAGTTCCACAGCTGAACCAATGATAGATGAAAACTTATCCGTCCTTCGAGGGCTTTTAAGAAAATCCTGACGACTACTGATTGATGTTTACCATTTTCATACCAGTAACTAAACAAGAGCAAAAAAGGAGGTTTTTTATTCGTACTCAAAACTTGCAAAGGAAACAAGTTACAACAGTCACAGTTTACAGGTTCGTGCCGGTGCTTTGCATTTTTTAGACAGAGGCAAAAGCAACAAATCAAGACAGACGAAAACAAGTCCACTCAGCAGCCAGATAGAAATTCGGCGGCTTTTTTTCAGACCAGACAGATTCTGATCATCGGAGTCAAAATATTCTGATACATATTTGGTTGAATTAGATAAATTCCTCAAAAAAATTAACATAATCTATTTCCCAACATTTTGAAATCAAATAGAGTAATGAGGGCATAAAGTCTGAGTCACTCGAATCAAAAAACTCAAATTTCAGCTGGTCACATTCGCATTCTAAACCATTTTCAACGCATTTATTTTTAATTTCAGGCACTTTTAGTGGTACGATTTTTCTAAACGATCTTCTAAAGCAGGAAGTAGGCAGAACTTTTTCTTAAAATGTCATTATTTTGCCACAGAATTATTTTGATGTTTGATTCGATCTATGTTTGCGCGAAAAATATGACATTATGGAATGAACAACGAAAATATGGGTTTTTGAAAAATCGTTTTGGAAAAATTATTTAAGTGTATTGCCAGCATCTCGAGACAAAAGTGTGCCTAAACCCCAAAAGGCACCAAACATTTTTAAAACCCTTTCAATCGCGGGAAACAAAATTAGCCATCTATTTTTGGTGTGATCAAAAAGAATTTCATATTCTGCATCCATAAACTCAGAAAATGTTCAATGACTCGTACAATGTGACTGCTAGAATTCGCGAGTTCAACTACCGATGGTGGCGCTGCGAAACGTCAAATTACTCGTTGTCGAGTGACAGTTGAGACTTGTCAGACTTGTTTATTTGTTGGAGTTGATGACATTTATAACATAAAATAATACTTACACACTTTTTGGTCTGTTTCTATTCCTTTGAAAGCTACGAGAGGTACGTCTTTGAGTACGGCGAAGCGATCGGGGCGCTGCAAAACGTCAAATTACTCGTTGTCGAATGACAGTTGACTTTTGTCAGACTCGTCTATCTATTGGAGTGGATAAACAAACGAAAAGTGAGTTGCAATTGTAACAAAAATGAACGTATATGAAAAAAAATTGAAAAGCTTGTAACAGTTGATTAGAACAAAACAAAACAAATCATAATCAGATGTAAACACCAATGTCAACAAAACAAGTGTCAAATTGCTACTGAACTTGCAGTTATAATTTTAGCCACGAGGGAGCGTCTGGATTTTTGAACTCGCGAATTCGCGAGTTCAACTACCGATGGGGGCGCTGCGAAACGTCAAATTACTCGTTGTCGAGTGACAGTTGAGACTTGTCACAATTATCTATCTATTGGAGTTGGTAAACAAACGAAAAATGAGTTGCAATTGTAACAAAAACGAATGTGAATGAATTGAATGAAAAAAAAACTGAAAAGCTTGCAAAAGTTGATTAGAACAAAACAAATCATAATCAGATTTAAACACCAATGTCATCAGAACAAGTGTCAAATTACTAGTTAACCTGTAGTTATAACTTTTTATAATATTTGCCACCAGAGAGCGTTTGCACTTTTGAACTCGCGACTAGTGAAATACCTATTATGAGTACAGGGTGTGAACATTTTTGCTCGCTGGAGGGCAAAAAATGTCAATTTCCAATTGACCGAATTTTTCTGGAGTTGAAAGAGATAAGTAGAGATAACTATTTTAAAATCCGGACGTTTTTGAAAAATCCACTCCGACTAGCTCCTTGTTGGGTTCAAAGAGTGACCAAACTGAAGCAGCAGTTTTCTGTAACTTTCAGGTTTAACAGGAGGAAATAATTAACTGGTTGTCGCTTTTCGGGGCGATTTATTTCGCGGCTGGCTTGATGAATAGAAGACTAAGGGAGGCATAATGGCGACTATAAAATAAAGTTATAAATAAGGCGGCCATAAATTCTCGTGACAGGGGCGTAAATTTAAAAATATATCGCGGTCGTTATTTATCGGCGGGGCTCGGATAACGAGAAACTCGGCTACTTTAAGTTCGCGACAAGATTGTAAATCGCGGATTATTTGTAACTTTCCAGGGGTTCAGTGCCGGCGGCAGCTGCAACTGTTTTGCTCTAACATCGCGGACGCCAGTAGCGCCAACAGCAACTGCAAATTTTCGGTTGCAATCTACAAGAACAATCTGGAAGGTGGTTGGACCACGAGTTGTCTCGCTTGAATGAAAGTCGTCAAACTTTGAAATAAACCAGCTCCAACTCCAACCGAGCATTTGGCCAACTGTTTGCCGTCATTCTTCTGTTGCAAAGCGGCGATTTCTTGTGCACATTCCACGATACGGCATCTGAGCCTGCCATCCGACGATTCAAATCGGCTCTTCGGCCTGTCATTCGGCCTGCCAGTGAGTGACGGCTCGTTTGACTGATTGACGAACGAGCGGACAGCAGGACAATGCAGGAATGCGACTGGTCGCGGCTCCACTTTGATTCCGGCGGTCCTGCACGGTAGCGGATACCGAGACCTGCTGAAATCTCAAAAATCCCCTTTCGATACGACCTGCATACTGATTAAATTGTCTTTGTCTTGTCCGCGACGCGGAATTAATCGATTTCCTTTGGCGAAAGCGAAATGGGCGCGTTTCTGGCCTGGCCCATGTTGTTATTGCATCAATTTACTCTACACCCAGTATACCGGGTGTCAATTTGAAAACTTTCCCACCCTTAATATCTTTCTTGCAGTTGAAAATATTAAAAATCGGAAAATAAAGAGGACACTCTAAACTAATGTTTTTAGCCTCCTGGTCTCAACCCCCTAGGACCGGTAGATGTCACCCTTAGAATCTTAAATGGGAAGGGGGGTCAAGTGGCACATGGTTCAACAAGCTTCTACAACTTTGATACGCGATTATGCGGAAACCTCTGGACACAAAGCAACTAAGTAGTAACTCATGTAAAGAGAATTGAACGCCCTTTAAGATTCTAAAGGTGACATCTACCGGTCCTAGGGGGTTGAAACCAGGAGGCTAAAAATCTTCATTTAGTGCCCCCCTTATAAAAAAAATTGATATTAAGGGTGAGACGTTTTGAAATTGACACCCTGTATATCCATCTATTGCCTTAACTAAGGCCGACATTAATCAATTACGATGGAAAACGACGATAAATCATTCCGGAATGATTTTAATTACTGTAATAAGCCGACAACGCAACATGGCTGAGGTGGTTCCGAGCGCACATGCTAATTAGTTGGGACGGCGTTAATTAACTATTCAGACCTCGATGACACACGGTCACTCTCAATTATTTTCCAATCATTTGACTGATTTGCATTGGAATGTCCATCAGTCCGGCCAGTTTTCTAAAATTTTCGTTCATTGGTACAGGCATCTGTTCGGCTTTAACAGTCTCACAAACCTGCTTAATCTCTGCAGAAGGAGCAGAGTTCGGCTTTGGGTGGTGCCAGTCGTTCACTCAACTTTAATCAATTTTAGCTTTTAAAGTCACTTTAGTGCAATTTGTTTCAAAATTCCCGATGAAAACTTTGAAGCTCACCGTGAAAAATACGCGGAAAGACGTCAACTGCACAATACTTTTTTGAGAACATAGAAAGCTCATTTTTTCGAACCGAGACCCAAAAAATCCTATAAAGTAACATCCACTTCTTGTTGAAAAATTAAAGAGACCGTAGATGTTCGAAGAAAAACGACCATTTCAATTTGCCGAAAACATAAATATCGGCTATACCTGATTTGTGTAAATTTATTCCTATGTTTTGAGCCAAAGAGCGAAATTTGAGTATCAGACATTTAGGTGCAAGATTAGGAATTTCATGTTTGCCGTTCCGCGCAAAAGCGATCATTTTTGCATCACCAGAGAGAGAACTAAATAGCGCTTTTAGAAAGTGTTGGCAGTCTTGTAAACGTACGCGAGGAAATTCTGGTTTTGACCCAAGAGGCAAAATTTGAAAATCAGACATTTAGGTGCAGGATTAGGCCAAAATTTAATGTTTTCTAGGCATGGGTAACTCAGTTAATTTTCAGGGGGCACAGTGTTGCCTAAATGGCTTGTTGCGCCAACCCAACGCACCAGCACAGTAACTCACCGGTGCAGTTGCGATGCAGTCACCCATTTGCTAAAATGTTTCTCCTAAAAAATGTGGTGACTTTTTTTAGGTTTTGAAATTCCAGCCCCGGGCCTCCTAAAGTTTTGGGTTAAATCCTAAGCCTAATTAAAAGTGCGGAACAGTGAGACGCGATGAGTTATAACGAAAAACTCAGAAATTAAAAATACTTCACAAGTTCAGAGTTGTGCGCTCTAAATGCCGCCAAAATTTCGACGTTTTTTAATTTAAATGAAATTTGGGCGCAAAAATGCACCTAAATGTCTGATATTCAAATTGCTTGTGACTTTTGTGACAAAGCGACCAGAGTTTACAGATAAATCGTCGGCTAAAGATCGTGAACGCTAAAAAACGGTTAAAATGTGCCGAAAATGTTTATTATTTCGGATCTGAAACTTCTAGCATGTTTTTCAATGAGTCTGTCACCTGAAAATGATGTAAAATTTAAGATATTTTGAGAAAATTTTTGTTTTTGCAGAAAGTCGACCCCCGCCCTGTTGGCAAAATTACACTACTTAATTAATTGCATGAAAAATCAGTCGGCGAAGAAGGCCAAAAAACTAAGTTAAATGGTTTTGTCAGTCCTTGCATACATAAAGGAACAGAAGTCATTCGGTCATAATTTATGGTTGACCCAGCAGCTTCGAAACCAATCACAGATTCTTGTGGGACAAATAGGCTTTACAAGAAGAAAACATGTTGCCACTTCATTCATTCCTTCCATTAATACAACGCAACCGGTGTCTGTCATAGTCTCTCTTCAGTAAAACCAAAGAAAAATATTGAACGCGCTGCGCTGCACCGTTTAAAAGCACCGCTAGTGAACTTACGAACCACTAGACATCACGAAACACAGCGTCTTCTGTTCTTATTTCCCAACATATAAAAAGTGTGGCGCGTTGTGTCGCTGTATCAATACAGCAAGCCGTGTCGGTGTCGCTGTGTGAACACTTGAAAACGACTGTACTACCCGGGTCTATTTTGATATCGTTGGATAGAGAATTGAAGCATTGATTCAGTTATGAGAATGTGGGCGAGGAAATTCTGGTAGTTTTGACCCAAAAAACTGATATTAAATATCAGCCATTGAGGTGCAGAATTAGGCCAAAATTTCATGTTTTACGTCCCGTCTTTGCTTATTTCTCGGAAACAAATTGAGCCAGAACGCTCTTTTTTTCACCACTAGAAGGTGTCTTGCAAAAGTGAAGCATCGTTGACGACATTTTTGAAGTTTTGTCAAAAAGTCTTAATTTCCGGATTTCCCATTGTTAATAAACCGTTCTATAAATGCCAATGCTTCTGGAATCAAAACTGTCCTGATAGAGCGTTCATTCTTGTCCAGATGCCGCAATAATGTAGATATAGATTAGAGCATCAGGACTAGACAAAGCGACAGTGGCCGTCATAAATCAGCCGGTGTAACAAGCGATTTCCTGCAGGTATTGTCCAACAATAAGTCACCAGAGCAGCCACCGTCTTAAATCTCGCCCGTCTTAACACCGTTTCACCATTAGATTTATCTGTGTAATCGTGTTCTTTGGCGTGTCTGCTGTCTCGCCTGCCGCGACTCTACACGACCGTATAGATTACCCGCCCGATAAGGACGAGGCAAGCGGGTAATAAAGTCGCAGCCGTCAAATAATCGACGCCCGAAAGGGCAAATTTGCCCCGACCGCAAAATAGTTATGCTGAATAATAAAGGGAGCAATTGGCCCGGGCCCATTATGGGCGATAATTTATTAGCGTGAGTCCATCAGGGTCCGTCACGTCTTCCGATCGGGCCCCAAATATCAATCGGAGTCCGTTAGACAGCAGGATGTCGGCGAACCATCGGCAATGTTCCACGTATGCCATGAAAAATAGATATCAATAAAACAGCCATCAATTGTAAATTAAATTTTAATAATTCATCAGCAGAACCGCGGCGGG